TGTACTCTTGATTTATATCAGTGCTCAAGAGGTAGAAGCTTCTAAACTGAACACAGAAACAAACTCCCTCTGTCAGCCCATTTTCATCTTCTACCTCACTTTCAAGATGTCCATGGGCATGTTGGAACGATTATCACACTGCTCTCCATTTCTGGCTGCAGGCTCGGGAGATTCTTTCTCTGCATTCCCTGACAATTCCTGGGAGCCTGTCATGGTTTCTTAGGCTAGAGCAATAACAGTGAAAATCTCACCCATGGCACAACTGCCCAGCCCACAAGGAAAAGAAAGAACAAGCTATAAAGTTCTTCAAATATTTGTCCCACTTTTCTGCAAGAGTCGAGCTGCACACATGGTGTGGGAAGCCAAGAGAAGCTGCAGCTGGTGGCACATCCTGTGCCAGAAACTGTTCAAAGCTTCCTCATTCTCCAGCAAAGGTTCTTGGAAAGAGCAAACAGGACTGTGGAGAAGATTCTGGGAAAACTGAAAGAGCTTTTAAGAAATGAAATGAAAATGGAAAGAAATAATCCAAGATGTTTTTCTCTGTTTATTTTTATGCTCCCCTTTTCCATCTTACACTACTTCCCCCTCCCATTAATTGCAAATGGATCTCACTTCTAAGATCCACAATTTGGCAAGTTTTAGACACTCTAAAATAGCATGAGCTACACACATTTTACCTTCCCCTGTTTTGTTTTTTTTTTTTTTTTTTAATTTTGGAAATCAATGATGGATAGGTAAGTGCAGTTCTTGGGTCAGGTACAAATTCAGCATTCAGGGAATACGCCCCGATAGCGTTTGACCCTCAGCAGGGACAATGCACAGCAGCGGCCGAGGGGATTCCTGTGTCCCTGGGCAGGAGTCCAGACTCTGGGTCTGGGCTGAACACGGCAAAGTTCCCGTGTTGGGACAGGCTCAGGGGCTGCCCGGGGAGCGCGGGGCTGGGCGCGGGGGCGAGCGGGCAGCGGACACACGGACACGGGGACACACGGACACGGGGACACAGCGACATGGGGACACACGGACACGGGGACACACGGACACGGGGACACATGGACACGGGGACACAGCGACATGGGGACACACTGACACGGGGACACACGGACACGGAGCTTCAGCTGCAGCTGCAGCAGTGGCAACAAAAGCAGCGAAAGCAGCAAAAGCAACTACTCTAAATTCCCTCTTGCATCTCCATCCAGTAAGATGGATCCATGCCATCAGCACATTTACAATGTAAATAACTGAGTTCTCTTTTTAAAAAGATCATTTACCTCTTAATGCAAAGTTACAGAAGTTGTTTCACTAACACTTGGATTTTATTTGTATCTTTTACAATTCATCTAATTGTATTTTTTTTCTTTTTCCTTTTTTTTCTTTAAGCAGAGGTCCTGGCCCTCTTCCAGCCAAAAGGGAAAGGGCCCCACCAAGCCTTTTTACCCACAGACAACATGGTAAAGCTGAACACTAAAGGACCTTGGGGGCATTATTCTGGAATTAAAAAGTTGCCAGCTCCATGGACAACAGAATTATTGTTCCTAACCTGAATGACACTGAGCAAAAAGAATGAAGAACAGTGTCACTAAAGTACTACTGACGTTTGCCAAAATACCTCCAGAGTTTCACCAAGGGATCAGTCATCAAAATGTTTTGAAAATTTAAAGACCAAGGTAGCCAAAGCACACAGTGTCACTAATTGCTGGGTATGTTCTCAGCTGAAGTTGGGAGGAATGGGGTTCCCTTGGAGGGCCCACCCTGTGGGGTGGCCAGAACTCTGTCAATGGGCTCTGCCTCGTAACGGAGTCAATGAAGGGACAGTTAGAGAAACCTGTGCTGTGGGACACGGGAATACAACGATCAGTGTGACAGGATTCACTCAGATTTCCGCTCAGGAGAAACCAAACCCTGTTACAGTTATAGAGGCTACAGTGTCAGAAGATTTCTGTGCTTTACCATCACTCCCAATGTCAGTAGAACTTGGGGTGCTGCAGCTGGTCAGTGTCAGTGTCACACCGCTCCCAGCTGCAGGGCCCCCATTTAGGGTCCTTCAGCAACGACCACACGGAAGACTTAGGGCCCAGAGAACATTTTCCACCCAAAGAGTGCCTTGGGTTTCCGAAAGCAAAGGATTCTGGTTCACCCTGTGCCCCATGTGCGCTGCCCCGCCCCGTGGAGTTGACATGAATGAGCTGAATGGATTATTAGAAGAGGTAGTAAATGATACTGTTGAAATGCCCATTAGCACAATCTATGAGCTCCAACAAACACAAATGGGGACTCCAGAGAACGGCATGGCCTTGGATTATCTGCTTGCTGGCCAAGGAGGAACCTGGGCTATCAGGGCACGGGGATGTTGCACTGCTAGCAGTGATGGGTTTGAAGGCCAACAGTCAGGAATCACCTTGACAGAAAGAGCAGTAGAAGAGTGGCAGAAGAAAATTCTTCTTGGTGGGATTGGCTTCACGGCTGCCAAATTAGAGGCTGCTGTGAAATGCATTGGTGGCAGGGCCTGTCATCATTGCAGTGTGTGCACTTGGTGAGTTGCTGTGACACTTTGTGCTGGGAAGTGGAGTATTGAGACCTTTCTTAAAAGAAACAGTCTCAAGAAAAGAGGGGCATTTGATAAATAACAGAGAATAGCAACTATTTAGGCATGTTTTAAAAGGAACGTGAATAGCTCTGAGTAATGAAGTTAAACTGCACTTAATTGTAGAACAAGAGGAGATGCCTTTATGCCTAATACCTAAATCTAAGCTGTGTTACTGAAAGAATTGTTACAAAGGTTGTAGTTGATTGTAGGTCTCAGGACCGATCAAAGTACCAAGGCCTGAACAGGTTGTGATCAAGGCCTGAACAGGCCCTGAGGCAAAGCTCACCTCTAGATGAACCTTCCAAGCAAATGTTGTATTTGTATCCACTCATTAAGGAAGCATGATTAACAACATGATCAATGCATGTGTTCCTTGATAAAACATGGATTTATCTTTCTGTATTTAGAAACAGACAAGGCCCCATCTGGCCTTGTTTGGGGGTGAAGGATCAAAGTCAACTCCCTTGGTTCCTCCTTCAGCCCTGGCCAGGCTTTGGGAGAAAGCAGTCAGGAGAATGAAAGCAGATGTTCTCGCAGTGGCAGTGATGCCAGCTTGTTTGTTTAACAGTGTAAAAGCTGGGTCCTCTCACAGCTTTGGGGCTGGAGCCTCATTGCCTGCAGAGGTGGAGGCACCTGCAGGAATTCCCAGTGTCTGGGAGTGGCTCTCCAGTCCTTGGCTTCCCCCAGCTGATGTGTGGCTGTGGATGATGGTAAAGCCTGAGGCTAACTGGTGATGGATCTTTCCTTAATCACTCCAGGCAATCTCTGGTAGCAATGACTGGATGCATTGCTGAGCTTCTTTTGTAATGCTTTGCTAATGATGATGTGCTTTGCTGAGCTTATCCTTTTGTAATTCTTTGCAGCTGTGCATGATATAAATGACACAATTCCTTCAGTTGGTGTCTGTGTCTTTGGTGCTGACCCTGCCCACTGGTGAAACAGGGCCCCCTCCAGCCTAGAGTGTTACCTAGGAAGAGAAAAGCCATCACTCCAAATGTCCCCCCTTCCTCCTTGTTCCCCCCACTTTATACCCTGAGCGTGATGCCTGCCCTATGGTCTGGGGTATCCCCGGGGTCAGTGGGGGTCACCTGTCCTGGCTGTGTCCCCTCCCAAGCTCCCCCGCAGCCCCAGCCCCTCTCCAGCGTGGCCAGAGGAGGGGCAGGCCAGGCTTTGGCTCAGTGGGAGCTCAGCAAGAACAAAAGCATCTCTGTGTGCCCAGCCCTGTGCTCAGCACCCGGCCCAGCAGCAGCGTCTCAGTGCCAGGGTCTGTGCCATCAGTCCCTGCCAGGGGTTTCCATGGCACCTGCCAGGCCAGGTGACCCAGGTGTGGTGTCCCAGTGAGGGCTGCCATGCAAACAGTGCCCAGCACTGCCCCTTTCTGTCTGCCTGACCTGGCCTTGGCCCTGGCCCTGCTGTTTGCTGCAGGTTCCGCGGCGCCTGACCGGCCCGCGCGGCACAGGGCAGGCGGCCACGGCACAGACCCACAGCAAGGGCTCCCCTCTGGCTCTGGGCAGTGACACCAGCCCTGAGCAATGGGCTGGCGCACTGGGGTCAGTGCGGTGTCCATGGCAGCAGTCCCTTGCAATGCCCAGTGCAGGTTGGGATGATGATCCACCCTCACAGCCGGCCCAGGGCAGGTGTGCGGTGCCCTTCCCCACAGCCTGTCTGCACAGAAGCACTTCCAGGGCTCTCTGCATTTCCCTTCCTTCACTCTTGAGTCACTCACACACCTCCCAACGACCCACTGGGAGCTTTGAGCTGCAAGGAGTGCAAAGCTGGTCTGTCCTTCAGGAGTTGCTCTAATTATGCCCTGAGCCAACTCTGGATTTGTGTTCATTGCAGAACTTCCTGTGTGTCTACATCATTCCTTGCAGGGCTCTGCCTTGGGGAAGGGGAACCTTCTTGGAGGTACCTAGGGCTTGGCACACACTTGAGGAGTGTGTCTGTTTTAAATGGGGAAGCTTAGGAGTTTTAGATTGCTTCAAAAAATAAAAGAAGAAAACCCCTCTTTGCCTGAGCGCAGCCAGTTCTCCAAGCACAGCAGGTCCCAGGTGACTGAGCAGAGACAGGACGGGCTTGGGCTATGTGGGGCAAGGTTGTCCACACTGCCTCAGACCTCCAGGCACAGCTTCTCTGACTAGGCCAGACATCCTCAGGAGAGTCCCTGGGCCAATATCAGTCGCTGAATGCTGCAGCCACCTCTGCTCTAAATAGAACAGTCATAAAATATACTCTTCAAAGAGGAATGTGGATTTATTGGAAGCTCTTGCAAATAGTTTTCCATCAGTATTGTAGGAAACCTCCTGACAAAGAATCTCCAGGGTCTAATTCCAACAGATAATTGCAGGCCATGATTGCACAAACCTCTCAGGACCCCAAGGCAAAAGCCCAAGTCCTTTGAAAAACCTGCGTCCCTGGGAGCATGAAGGAGGGCCCAGGGCCATTCCTGACCAAGGCTCCCCAGGGCCTCTTCCCAGCAGCTCCCTGAGGCCAGGAGTGCAGGGAGGCAGAGGCTCTGTGTAGGCAGCTCAGCTGCTGAGCAGAGCCTGGGCTGGCTGGAGGCAGCAGAAAGGCCAAGGCCTGAGCCCCAGCCCCAGGGAAGGCAGATCCTGTCCCTCCCCGCCTGCTCAGGGCTCTGCCGGGAGCACTGGCATAGGGAGGGATGCTGAGGGCAGGACAAGGGATGGCAGTGCCCAGCCTGGCTGGGGCTGTGCCAGGAGGCCCCAGTGCCTCAGGACAAGGTGTCTCCTCCTCACAGCCCTTGGTGGCAAGACGCTGCTGTGCCCCAGGGCACCAAGGCCTGGCTTCTCCTGGCCACTGCCAGCCTTGCCAGGGCCCTTGGCCATGTCCAGCACAGCTTGTCCTGCGCTGTCCCACAGCTGCTGCTGTGTCCCTGCAGGCTGCACACTCCCATCTCGCTGCCCCCCGGGCCCTGCCCTGCCATTGCCAGCCCTGCCCTGCCCCTGCCATGCCCAGGGCATGTCTGCAATTCCCCCAGGCAATGGGTGGGGATGGGCAAGTGTTCCTGAGGGCACAGGGAGGGGACAGCTGGGCTGGACTGACCCAAGGGATCTCCCATTCCATGCAATGTCATGGTCAGCAATAAACTGAGGGAAAGGAAGGGCATAGGGCTGGCAGGGAGGGCTGTGGAGATTTTTTACCAAGACATTTCTCATACAAAACACAAAGTACATGTTCTTGATCCGTTCCTACCAGAGGTGGCTGGACTGATTGTCTGCTGATGAGAATCAGCAACAGAGGATTGATCTCATTTGTTGTTTCTTTGCTTCCACCTGCGGCCTTTGCCTTTTGAGGCCCTTGCTGAGGAGGGTGTAGAAGCCCAGAAGATCAGGACCTGGTCTGCATGTCCCACACATCAAAAACTGGATGGCCGTGGGACCAACCAAGGATTGGTGAGAACAGCCAAGACTTCTTGGCAATAACACACTGTGAGGAAGAACAGACTGTGTCTGCAGAAGGGGCCATGCAGATAAAGGCAGAACTTTGCCAGGACAAACATCCTTGCTCTGGCTCCTGGGCATAAGCACGACATGGCCCAAGTGCAGGAATGAGAAGTGGGCACGGACTGTGGGGGGATCAACACCACCAAAGACCCCCAAAGCCTCCGAGCCATTTCCAGAAAGGTGTAGCAGAACTAACTGCACGTGGTAAGTCATTTGCACAGAAAGTGAGACACTTATCACCAGGGCAGGAAAAAGTGATCAGTGAAGAGGTCCTACCACCAAGGCCAGGCACATTTGTGCCCCAGCACCCTGGACATCCCATTGGCTGGATCAATGCTGGAACCAGGACTGGGGATCTCTTCTCTCTCTCTCATTTTCTTTCTCTCTGCCCTTCTGATTCACGTGTCTGTCTCTGTCTCTCCTGTCTCTGCCTCTCTTCCCTTTCACCTTTCCTCTTGTGCCTTTATACAAAACCTACTGACATGCCCTTTTATAGCTCAGGGACTGACATCCCAATTTCTATGCCAAATGCATAATGAGTTAAGAAGACTTTATAGGCCTTTGTGGACTCTCTGAGCTTTTTAATTTCTTTCAGCCATGAGCATCTACAAAACCTGAGTGTCTCCTTTGCCTTAAGTTTGGGAGATCACAGAGAGTGAGGGAGAAAGAGGCTTGCTGGCCCCTGATGGCCGCACACATTTAACCCGCCAGTGTCGTTTTGCTCAGCTTTTCTCTAGCAGGCAGCATTAACCAGATGCAGCTGCGCAAGGGTTTCCAGAAATTTGGCATCATCCACAAAGGACTTGGAAGTGCATTTTGTCCCATGGCACAGGAAATATATGAATATTCCATTGTAGTCAAGGGCTGGTCACTGCGGGATGTCACCAGGGCGTGGCTGCCAAGAGGACTCTGTTCCATGAATGACATTTGACCCTCATTGTTCAGCCAAATTCCCACTCACCCCATGTTCCATTCCTTCAGCCCATGTCTCTCCAATCTGGCTCTGAGGAGACCCAGCAGACCATGTCACAGACCCTGCTAAAGTCTGGGCAAACAACATCCCCTTCTTTTCCCTGCCACGTGTGTTCTGCAGTCCCTGCCCTGTGCTGCCAGTGCCTGGAATGGCTGCAGGAGGATTTGTCACATCCCCTTCCCTGCTGAGCCTGACCAGTCTGTGACTGTCCCCATCCCCTCCCTGCCCTGTTTGCAGACTGGTTCTATGTGTGCCCTTCCCAAGTGCCCAGGACCCTCTGGGATGGCTCTGGCCTTTCCAGGGGCTTTGAGAGAGGTCTCACCGTGACACTGCCCAGCCTTCTCAACATCCCTGACAGCAAAGGCCTCTGCCACATCCCTCAGTTCCAGGTCAGTGCCCAGGGCACAGCACGGCCCTGTCCAGGTTCTCAGGGTGCTTCAGAAGGGAGGCAGCTGTGACTTCTCCCTGCAGACCCACCACTCTAATGTCCCTCTGTGCAGTCTGTGGCTGTCCTGAGCATTTCCCCTGGAGCCTCCCTGCCCTGGATGTTTCTCTCCATGAGCTCATCTATAAATTGGCTGCTCCACTTTTTGTACCCCTGGGGATTGCCTCAGGCAACCCTGGCCCCTGCCAAGGTCTGTCAGTCGACTCTTCTTTGCCTTTCATCCCTGGAGGTTTCTTTCTTGCCACTTGAGGTGTTGTCATGCTGCACTTCCTAGCAACAAGCTCGCACGTTTCTCAAATGTTTTTTGCAAAGGCACAGGTACACACACACCCTCCTTCCACATGCCTGGACTACTAAGGCCCTCTCTTGGCAACTATACAGAGTGGGGAAGATGGACTATGGGGTGAACAGAGGACATCTAAACAACAAATCACAATTACATAACTATAAGTCAATAAACTTTCCTTAACATACATATAATATTAATCTCTTAATTGCGAGAGCCAACTGTTGCATTAGCCATTTATAACAGAGTGAAGTGGCCTCAAGGCACTGTTTGTGCCACTGGAATTGTGCCACGCCCAAGTGCTGATGATGGTTGTGATAGTAAAAGGGTTTTAAAACCATGGGGATTTAGGGTTAAAAGGAAAATTAAGTTTAGTAGGTCCTGAAAAAAAAAAATACCCTAGGTACATGTAGGCCTTCTACCTTGCTAGAACTGCACCTGTGTAGCTAGTACATGATAAATGATATAACTGTTAGATATGATGATTGTGTAGTAATTAAATAGAATTACTGTTTAATCATAAGATAATCATGAGAAACTGTGGTCGGGGGCCTAAGAAAGATCACGAGAAACTCATGCTTGAATAAAGTCAATGTATACAATAGAACAATAGAAGTTTAATAATTAATATGTAAGTTATATAACGATAGAATAGAAAATACGTTCAGCTCAAAAGCCATGTCGGAGTCAGATTTGGGTCTGTACCCCTGACTCCCAGAGCTCTCAGTAAAAGCACCTGCATATAATCATATCCCGTGATTATGTGTGTTCCTGAATGCTAACACTCTGTTCTATGGTCCTTATCAAGTCCCCCCTTTTCTTGAGACACAGTTCCGTATGGGAACTAGTTTCTGAATACCTATATTTCATTTTACAGCATAAGAAAACTTTGTTTTCTAATATGTTTTCTAACATGTCTTTTTCTGCAGTCTCGTTGGCTAAATGTTTCCCCAATTCCAGTTTGGTCTTAACCACTTGGTGTGCTCTGCAATGCCTGATGGCAACTTCCTCTGGTTTCTGGATACTTTCAAGTAAACCTAAGATTTGTTCTCCGTTTTTGATCGGAGCTTTGATATGTCAAAAAGTCTCTTTCTTTCCAGAAGTCCCATGTGCATGTACCACTCCAAAAGCGTATTCTGAATAAGTTCAAATGTAAACTCCTTTTCCTCTACTCAATTCCAAAGCTCAAGTGACTGAAATTAGTTCTACTTTCTGGGCTGAAACATCACAGAGGAGTGCCCCCAATTCGATTACATCGGCTTGTGGAGTCACTGCGTATCCAGATATTTGGACAGGAAGGTTAGGGGCTTGGTGCTCTGACAGACCAGCTGCTCCTGCTGCCTGCTCTGCCTTTGGCATCTGCTCTGCTGAGGGTATGGCAGCTGCAGCAGGATTTCCTGTGGGAAGAGGTGCCACTGCTGACATAGCCCTCGGACTCCAGGGGCCCGTGGCTGTGCCCTCCAGCACAGGGGTGTCACCCACAGCGGGGCACGAGGGGACAGTGAAGGGCATTAGAAGGGAGAGAAACCAGCATCTAGGGACTATGTGAGGGAAATGACAATTTATTTCCTTTTCCTTGAATAACGAATTGCAGGAGCCCTGCTAGAGCTGCTGGTGGATTGGCCTCTTGCTGAGGCCCCTCCTCTTTTTGGGACACCATGTACCCCCCGGGCAAGGGGCCGCTGTTCCAGCCAGGAGCAGAGGTGCTGTGCCTTCTGCCCGGGCACAGGGACCTGCTACTGTCACCACCTCTTGCCACAGGTCCTCCTGATACTGGTCCTGCCCTGCAGGGATGGGCACAGGTGGGGAGTGGCAGTGAAACCCAGGGCAGGGGCTTTAACATTGACTGCTCTCAATGAGTTGTTGAGAAATCAGTTTTCCATTTTCTGCCAACCAAGGCTGTCAGTGTTTCTGTGTTTGTATTAATGAGAAGGGTTAGGGTTAGGGTAGAGTGTGGGTTTAGGGTTAGGTTAGGGTGTGGGTTTAGGCTTAGGGTTAGGTCAGAGTGTGGGTTTGTGGTTTAATGGAGAGCAAAGTGGTGTCTGAATTTTAATTTTTTCTTTCATGGTATTTTGTCTGTGAAAAGTCTGAAAATCAAGGCCATCTTTTTGGAATCTGCTATCTTTGCCCTTGATCATAGCCGAGTGATCCTTCAGAACTAAGCGAAAGCAAGAACTCTTATGGCCATTTTTTAGAGGGAGAAAAAACCAAGCCCAAACCTGTTTTCTGAATCCTCTGGAAAATCTGACTTATCCAAGAAAACATGATTAGGAATGTATTGATTTTCTGTTCTGTCATTCATTCAGACACCTGTGAAGTCAAATCAGTAATGCTCTCTTTAATGATTTATGACACAGCTGATTGCCATTAAATCTCTTGAAATCATGGCCTCAACTTTCAATGATATTTTGAATATGAGACTTTCCATTTCAGGGAGGAACAGAGTGCATTTGCACAGTTCCATTATGGGTGGGTTTTTTTCAACACACAGATTCTCTCATTTCCCATTCTTTAGCCTTAACCATTAAAGTAAACCATCTGCTTTGGAAATGCAACTCAGATGTAACTCTTTCTACTATTTTGCTTAACTTATTTTTAGAGGCTGAAAATATTCAGTTGTAATTTGCTTTATAGAATTCTTTGTCACTGTGGGACCGGAAAAAGATCACAGGAATTTCTCCCATCATCGATTTTAAAATATTTTAAAATGTTATTATAAAGACTATTTATCAATATTTAATTTTTGCTTTCTGTGTAATTTTATTAAATCTGTACTTTAAAACAGGAATTACCTAGCAGGCTTTCAGCTCAATGACAGCAGTTGCTTTTCAGCAGGCTAATTTTCCTGTAGGACTAGACAAGGAAAGTAACTTAGGAAATTGATTTTTCCACATTGTTGCAGTGTAGGAATGGTATTCCCCAGTTTTGCGCTCACACTGATACAGATCAGACCACGTGTCACTCACTGACTTCCCCACCACTTTTCCTGTGGCGGGAGGATAGAAGAGCACAAGTAGGCAAAGATCACAGGTTGAGATAAGAACAATTTACTAGAAACAGCAGTAAAAAAATCCCCGTTTCCAAGGACACGTGGCCATTGTCACCAGCACAGAGCAGGACTGCTCAGACCCTTCAGCAGCTGTGTTGAGAGCGGAGGTGTCAGAGCGAGAGCGAGTGTTGTTCCAGTTTAGCTGGTTCTAGCACACGTTGGTCAAGAGGCTGATCCACACACTGAGTGGAGGTAATTATTTACAGTTCTGTGCAGAAATGGGGGGCTCAGGGACAAATTCACAAAGCCAGCACCCCAAGAAATAGAGTGTCTTAGTATTTCTACATTTTAGCAAAGAAAGGAATTAGTGTTCATTGACTGCAAGTTCCCTAGTTCTCTTCATAATTAGTATTCTGTCTGCTGTTGGGTAATGATCCTCTCACTTCTCATGTTCATTAGTCTGCATGCTCAGTCTCTCCCTTCTTTTATGTCAATGGCTTCTGGAGCGCATGGCCATGGTCTGCCCCTGCTGGAATGGCTTTTTACCTCACAGGAGGTGATTCAGTGCAGTTTCTGCATTGGCTCTATCAGTTTGTACCTTTCCTTGGGGCTTCTGCCAAATGTCCTTGCGCCCCTAAATCTGCATTCTTTGTGCCCACCATCAGTGGTACATCCTTCTTCCCAAGCCTTGCTAACCTCCCCGGTGTCTGAGGTAGCTGAAGCCTGTCAAGCCCTGCACCCCAACAAGGCAATCCAGCCAAGAAGTAACCTGCCTTTCAAAGGCCTGGCCATCACTCCTTGGCTACTTCTTGTTTCATGGGAATAATCTCCCTTCTTGTTGATGGGCCTTGAAAGCCACAAAGGACAAACATCAAAGAACACATTTTCCTGACAAATATTTTGCATTTTGCAGACTCTTCAGCAGGACCAGTGTCTGTGTGGGAGCCGGAGCACCCGAGGCAGAGCAGGATGGCGGAGCTGTGGGCCTGGGCACGATCCAGAGCGTTCCACAGGGCCCCAGTCTGCACTGCGTCCCGCAGGGCCCCCAAGAGCCCTGCCGTGCCCGTCAGGGTGACCCACAGGTCCCAGGACCAAGAGGTGAGGGGCAGGTGTCGGGCTCTGCGGGCTGCCAGCGGGTGGGGGCTTGGCCATGGTGTTGGTGTCAGGTGCTGCTGACCCCACGGGACCTGTTGGGCAGGGCTGGGGCCCCACTGGTGCTCCAAGGGCCCCTTTGGGGCAGCTGCCCGGGGGGAAGCCACTCACAGGGATGACACGGAAGAGGTGCCAGCGGAAGTGGGAAGTTCTCTGATGGATGTGTTTCTCAGGGATTGCACTGAGGAGGTTCCAGTGAAAGTCAGATGTTCTCAGTGCTGGGACACTCAGGAAATTCATGCTCTGGGCATGGCTCTTGGTCAAAATGCATGGATTTCTCATTGTTCCATGTTTGCACTGCACTCACCGAACATGTCAGGATAAAGGAAACTCTCTAACAGTATTTTTTAGTATTAGTATTTAGTATTTATGCTCAGCTGTGATGCATAGTGGAGAACTCCAGCCACATGCACACCATTTTCAAAGCTTTTCCAAACAAAGAAATTTCAGCATTTTTAGCAAAAAAAAAAAAAAAAAAAAAAAAAAGAAAAAAAAATTAATCTTCATTGGTTCTAAATTACATAATTTCTTCAATTAAGTATTATTCTATCTTCTCTTTGGCATTGATGTCTCCCTTCTCATGGTAATTAATTCACATCTTTCAGTCCATTTATCATAGCTTTTTAGATTTTATCTCAGACAATTTTGCCTACAGAATGTAGCAGTTGGATGGCAGTAGTTGTTTTCGTTAAAAATGTACTTAGGCTGATGAACATTTCAGTGATTTTTAACCTCCCGCAGAATGTGATACATTCTGTATTAAATTATGAAATCAGACAAGCAACCCGAATTTTGTTATATCTGATTAACCTAGGATAAACTGCTTCCATTTCACAGCTGCAAAGAATTGCATCTAGAGCTGAGGGCAAGAGAAAGGGCTTTCATGCCTGTTGAGAGTCAAAATTCACCTTATGCAGATGAAATTCTTTTTGGAGCTGACTCCAAGATGTGCTTCCTTAGTACCAAATAAATCCCAGCATCAGGTCGTGTCCAAAATTCTTATATTTTTGTGAACCACTCTCACCTGGATTGTTAGCTGGACACTGGCCAGTTCAGTTGTACTCAGGCACTTGATTTCAAGGGCAGCCTGTGCCTATAAATTCCAGCAACTGGGAAAGGATGACTTGCTACTTGAACGCTTGGCTGCGTTAGAGGCCAAGTGAGGGTTGCTCTCTCAGGGCAGTTTTGTAGCCGGCTGCCTGCAGAGGGAGAACTGTGTCAAAGCAGCCCTTTCTAGTGATGTGACAGCAAACCTTTGCAAATACAGCTCTTGTTTAAAACAAAGGGCCTAGTTAATCAGCAGTGATGGAGAGCAGGCTGAAGTTTTTACAGAAAATATCTTTTTCCTTTTAGCCAAATGCCAGCAAGGCATCGCACAATGGAAGTGCGCAGAATGTCAACTTGTATAACCCAGCTGGAGGTATGATTGTTTTTCACATTTTGCTCAGTGTCGGTAAGATTTTCAACTTGGTCATTCATTTTTGCAGCATACTCTTGGGACAGGGGATCTCTTGTGTTCAGAGATCTTGACTGGAGGTGGTATGCCCTCAGGTCAACCTTGCAGTCTCTTGTCACTGCATTTAGCCACTGGTTTGTTTTCCCCCGAGAAAACCTGCTAGTCCTTCCTTGTTTGCATACTGGTTGATGGGATGCAATTTGGAGCATTGAGGTCAAGGTTTGGACTACTCCATGCAACTAAATTCACTGCCTTGGTAGCTAAGGTTTTGCTTTTGGAGTATCTAGGCACTGTCATTATCCTTTAAATTTAATTGGGAAAACCTATGCAACCTTGAGAAAGTTGCATAGAGAATTTCATAAGGTCAGCATGGGAAACTTTGCTTGATTTAATTTTTTCTCTTGGTCGTTAATAAGTGAGTGTTGCCGCAACACAGTGTTGGGTTCTTTTCAAGGCAATTGAAAGGAAGATATTGACATCATCTTCCCCACGGATTCCATCATTTCCCACAAAGCACAAGGTGCTTAGGTGATGTCATTTGTTATGAATCTGTTCTCAATGCTGTTTTCCCAAGGAGCCTGGTTCCAGGCAGACTCGAGGTGCACATTCCCCTTACAGGCACTCAGTGGTGCTGCCTGCAGCAGTGAGCTGAGCCAGGTACAGCCAGCTGCCCTGAGAAAAGCAGGCTCTCACCTGGCTGTGGCTGCAGTCACCTGCCTGCAGGGACTTCCCTGCCACTGCAGGTGCAGCTCTTGCTCTGCCTTAGCCTACTGCAGAGCATTTTAAACTAGCACCATGGTGGCTTTTTGCAGAGACAAAACTAAACTTCACATTTCTCATTGGGGACATTCTGTTTCACATGTGAATGATGATTTGTGTGATTCTTGGTGGTGGTCTACACAGACCCTAAGGGAATATTTAGCATTCAGTAACTGGGGTGTGAGGACTGGCAGTAGTGAGACAATTGTGGAACTTGGTGCTGCTTTGGCTTTAGGCTGGCACAGAGAAGCTCAGGTGAGACAGGTCTGGTTGCTGCTAGGGTACAGGGTGCCTTTGCAACATGCTCCATGCTGTACCAGTTAGGGACTGGGCTTTGTCACAGAATCAGAGAATCAGAATCAGACTTGGAAGGGATCCACAAGGATATGCAAGTGCAGCTCTGTCCCCAAGAATCCCACCAGGTGCCTGTGAAACTTGTCCAAATGTTTTCTGAGCTCTAGTGGACTTGGTACCATGAGCAGTCTTGTGGGGAGCCAGTCCCAATGCCTGATCACCCTCTGGGTGAAGAACTCTTACCTAATTTCAATCTTAATGCTTGCTTATGGCTTCAGGTAATTTTTGTTAGAAGTCATTCAGGGGTATGGTTTTAGGAGGTGTTTTGTTTGAATGCTGTGGGAAGTTTCTCTATCCACATTGGATTGAACTCCTCAAAACATTAGCGGTGTCTTCACTCGACAACTGGCATGTTTACAGTGCTCTAAATAATTGAAGCGTGTGATGTTTGTGCAATTAGGTTTGCAGACAAATACTGGAGAGGCATGGTCCAAGGAACAGGAAGTGGAGAAAGGCATTAAAAATTTGACCTACATTGAAAGACTGAAGGAGCGTGTCAAGAAAGGTCAGTCTCTGTGTGTGGGATGGAAGAGACAAAGCTCCCGGATTTCTCACCAATATGCATCAAGTCTCCATCAGCCACTAAGCACGAGTTCCTGGTTTCAAACACTGCTTGCTGTGTCATCTCCCCTCCCTTGACCTGCTGGCCACATCTCACCTGATGCAGCCCAGGACACGGTTGCCTTTCTGGGCTGCCAGCACACATTGCCAGCTCATGCCCAGCCTCTCATCCACCAGCACCCCCAAGTCCTCCCCACCTTCATCCCAGGCTCCTCACCCCATCCCAGCATCCATGCCCAGCTGGGATAGGGCATGTCCCAACCCCAAAGATGCAGCTCTTTGCACTTGGCCTTGTTGAATCTGATGAGGTTCCCAGGGCCCTACTTGCCAAGGTTCTCCATGTCCCTCTGGATGGCATCCCAGACCTCTGGTGTTGTCAAACTTGCCAAAGAAGCATTTAATCCCCCTGTCCATATAATTCTTGACATAGCTAGTGCTTGAGCTTACAAACTGGAGAAATCATACAAAAACCACCATGCATATAAAGAGTTTTCCATAAATACCTCCCCTCCAGTATCACTCCTTCACACGGTATTTTTAATGACTGTTTCTTCCTAATGCTTTACTGTCTGGATTTGTACTGATCTATAAATTCTGAACAAATAGAGTTTCCACAGTCTCGGTACATCCTTTTGCATCAACTACCTTGATTCCTCCCACTCCCCGTTTGACAATTCATTTTCTGTTTTTTCTTTACTGAAGTGAAAATACCAGAGCTCAGGAGAGCCCCACACAGCTCTCCAGATCTTGTGCCTGACAGGAAGAGAACGATGCCCAGAACCCTGCAAAATACATCCAGAGACTTTTCAGTGCTGTTTCTCAACGACCCATCAGAGACAGGGTGATTCATTTACTGGCTCTGAAGAATTACAAGAAGTCAGAGCTACTTACCTGCTTAGAGAGAGAGGGAGTTGTGGAAAAGGACAAGGAGTCCCTTGGAAAGATCCTTCAGGAGGTGAGATCCTGGGGCTGCTGCCAGCAATGCTAACTCTTAGCAGTCTTACTTCAGGGTTTAAATTAGAAACTAATGAGAAACTTAGGAAATGCCCTTTGTTTGCATTTTCCCATCAACTTTACTCAGTTTCCACCCAACTGCAAGTCCATGTGACAAAAAGAAACCTTCAAAACTTTGGAGGCCTTGTTGTTGTTCTTCTAGAATAGCTGGCAATGATAAAATCTTGGTAATGTTGCTGCTTCTCATGCCTTATTTTAATCCTCCCTCTTTTCCTTGCACTGGTAAACTGCTTCATGAAGTAACTTCACAGGGTGAAACTCTCAACTGGGTGAAACACTTAGCTGAGGTCCTTAAAATACCCTGGGACAAGTTTCAGAGGAGAGAATTTTGGTGGCTGCATAGGGCACTATTTCATTTGAAGGGACTTGGTGGCCTCTCAATGGTATTTGCTTCTACTGTGGGGATTGCCTTCCAGGGAAGGGTGTTCCAGGCAAATCCTACATGATAAAGATGGTGGCCCAACTTTGAACACAGAGTTGCTTTGCTGTTGTGTGGATTGAGTCGTCGACTTCCTTGGCACTTATTATTTCTCATAATTTTCCAGTTGTCCTTTTAGCACCACTGGTATTTCTTTATTACAGCCATTCATACGATTCACATGGACTGAAGGATGCAGTGGCTGTTTCTTCCTTTTTCAATATTCCCCATCAATGTAGGCTGTTGCTGAATTATGCAAGCATTACCATATCAAGTAGCAATATTTCCTTTATAGCTACGAAACAGGTGATGATAAGATTTCAAAGCTCAGCTCCTTAGAGGGTAAGAGATGAAAAAAATGTCTCCTTTCTGTTTGTTCTTGTTAATGTTTAAGGAGATTTTGAAGGAGTATTTTCTTGTTTGCAGTGTGAACTGCCTGGAGATACTGGTTTGCATTCTGAAAGGGCTGTGTGAACAGCACTACATCCTGAAAACTGTTATTTACATTTCTCTTAACTTCATAGGGAGATGGTGGTGTTTTTTGCCATGCATGAAAAACCAGTAGGGAGAACTTGCTGAGCTCTTCTATTCACAACCTTCCTTCTCTTCCAACACAGCCTGAGTTCTGCTTTTAAAAAGTGAATTCCTGATTCTGGGCATCTTTGTTGCTTTTAAACTGTTGAAGTGTAGCTCTAGGTAGGTTATCTCCTAGAAGTGTTCCATAGGAAGCTGCAGTTTCCTCTGAGCAGACACTTGAGAAAGAAAAGCAGTTCTGTTTGCAGAGACAAATGCCAACATCCTGTGGTGCTTCATGGGATGATGAAAACGTGCCCCGTTACGGGTCCAGGCTGTGTTCTGCCATGGCAATGTAGCTGGGTGAATCAAGAGGGCAGCATGTGTCCTCCTGAGAGTGGAAAAATATGGACTTGCTCATGGGGATGATGTTCTTCAGGTCCTACTCCAAAAAAAAAGGAAAACAGAAAGGAAAATCCTGGTCTCTCCATGTATTTCAAATGGTGAAGTTCTGGCATAGTGTACCTTGATTCTCAAAGCTGCCTTAAAGACCAAAAAACCTGGATCCCTGGTGCAGGGAGAGGTTTTCATAGCCTCCATTTCCTCCATGCTTGCAGCAGTTTGGCATTTACTTACATCCAAATTTCTACAGCCCAAATGGACCACACCTGTTTAATATTGTTGCCTCTTACATGACAGCTGCTTGTTCTTTACATCAAACAAAAGTCCTGGAAAACTGGTGCATGATTTTCTTTCCAGCTTTGCTTTAGCTCTGTACTACCAGTTTTACATCTGTAGTCTGCCTTTAGGTGCAATGAATATTGATGTTTTAAATGTCTGCCCCTAGGTAGCCAACCTGGATGCAAATGAGAATTCTTTCAGTCTGAAGGAACATTTCTTCAAAGACATTCAGGTTGATTGGCCTGGCTACAGTGAAAGAGACAGAAAGACATTGGAGGTGACCCTTTTTCAGTAAGTTCAGCCAGGACAACAACCATTTCAAAAAAACCCTCTAGGAAGTGAAGGTCTGTTTTTGCTGTGAGGAAAGAACAAGGATTGTTGATATTTTTGCCTTGTAACCTGAAATGCTGGACCATCCTTAAAGAAAAACAGGTCCATCTCCAAATGCCACCAGCACCAGCCAGTCACTGTCTCTGGGACGTTCTGAAAGAAACACTCCACCGAGAACTGCTCAGGTATTTTGTGAATTTTTAAACATTCTCTACCATATATGATGTTTTATCCCACCTGCTCTTGGTGTCCAAGCTGTGGTATGAAGCACTAGTGTTGTCTGTACATCATATAAACCTGAAGTGTGTACTTCTAATGGGATTCCTGTATACTTTTCAAGATGGTTACAATGTCAAAACCTGCAACAAGCTTGCACCCGTGATTTGTTTGTCATGGTGCATAGGAAACTCTGCTAAGGACAAGATGTAGACGTGGTTTTGGTGCCTAGCTGTGTCTGGGCAGGGTTATTGATGATATGGCAGCTCTAGTACCTAAATCATGTTTGAAGAGAAATCTTAGGGAAGTCTAGCATAAGGACAAATTCCAGTACTGAGGCGTTTGTAGGAAGCTTGTTTTTCTGTCCTAAGCAGCATTTAGGCTCCCATTTTGATTCAGGCTATCCCATGTGTGAGGAGGGGACTTGGAATCATTAGGGAATACCTTGGACTTGTCAGGCTTAAAATCAAGAGATGGCCAATACAAGAGGGCAAGGAAAAAGTTTTGAAAGAATCTTGGAAAACCCTGCATGAAAGGTATCTTTTCTATACCTTAAAGAATTCTCTTTAAACAGCCCTGGTTTTCCCTAGCTCTTTTCCCAGCCAGAGCAGGAAGTGCTGCAGGGCCCAGCATCCTCTTATGTCCTACCTCTGTGCCTACAGCACTTCTGTCAGCAGGCTGGCACAGAGCTGTGTCTGGCAGTCCTGCTCTGAGCTGCTGATGGTGGGAGCAGTGTGTGCTTGGTAGGGAAGAGGCTGTGATCCAGGGTTTCCTCTGGAGAGCAGCAGGAATGAGACCTGCAGCCAGACTGGGGCTTCTCTCTGTTGTTATCATCTCTGCACTGGACACGCTGTGATCAGCACCACACCGGCGGCTTCTTGGGGCCGCTTTAGTGAATGGTGTGGCTGTGTGACAGCAAGAGTAGAGTGTGTTCCTGGTGTGTCTAAGCAGAAATAGGGAGCAAGATAAAACCAACCTGAGCTACTCATTTTGGGGAAGCCTTTGTTAGAGGTGCTGAAGGGAATGTCTTTCTCCCAAAGCCATTTAGCTACAGAGTTGGAGGAGGACTTGCTGAATACTCAGGTGAGAAAGTAGGAATGAAATAGAGAACATATTGAGCTGCAGCACCTCCTTGTATGACAGGCCGTTTTATGTAAGAAAGGTGTGTGTTCAACCATTGCCAGGTCAGTCGTGCTGCTTTTTCAGAGCAAACCTCATTGGCATCATCTTTGCAGAAACGGCCTCTGGCTTCTGCCTTTATCCATCCTGTGATGACAAAGAAACAGAGGATTGACCAAGAGCCCTATGGTATCCATCCAGCTGTCGGAACTCAAAATGTCCCTCAGACATTTTTTAGAGGTTCCAGGCCTTGGTCAGAAGCATTTTAGACCCTGGCAAACAGCAGAAAACAGCTGTGATTTTGAGTTTGAACCATGGAATGAATTACCAACTTTAAAGGTGGAACAAGCAGTCACAGAGGGTTAGATGGTATAGTAAAAGTAGTCACAAATTAGAGGGTAAAATTTTTTAGTATTGTACAGGGGGGTTTTAACACATGTACAGGGGGGTTTTACTTTGTACAGGGGGGTCAGGAGTTCTAAGATGGAGGAAAGTGGGCCTGATCCTGTTCTTCCTCCTTCTTCTTCCTTACCTCCATGTTCTTGGTGATGTTGGCATTTTTCTATTGGTTTAGGCTAGGGACACACTATTCAACGTAGATGATAGATATTGGCACATTATTGTAAATATAGTACACGTAATTTCTTGTATATAATGTTTGTACCATCCCACTGAGGGGCAGAGCCCCGCACACTGCCCTGCAGGACAGACCTGCGGCAGGGCAGCAGAACTTGTTATAGATAAGCAAAAATAAACAACCTTGAAACCAGCACAGACGAACTATGGCTTCTTCTTTGGCAACGGGGCAGAAAGACAGAGACTTTCTACAATCTCGGAATCACCAATACCCACAGATTCCGACAATTGGCGTCCCTTGGCGGGCATCAGCAAGAACAAGAAGAAACAGCAAACAACCTCCAACCTTCATCAGCAGAGAAAAACAAAAAAATAAAGAAAGGAAGAGGAACAGAGCACAAATGCTCTCGGCAGATTCCAGGAGGAGAGGGAGAGGAAAGCTCAAGATAAGAACCTGACCTTCACCAAGACAGCTCGTCTGGAGGACAGCCAGGAGGAGGAAAACCAGAAGCGCGCCTGGGATTTCTCGCCTGTGACCTGCTGGACGATGAACAGTGCCATCTCCGGACTGACCTCGGGTGACTCAGCTTTTGGTGAGAATGGTTGAAATTAAGAACATGGGGAAGGGATGCTCCCAAGGACAGACAAAAAAAAAATTTTCAGCCCTACAGGGCAAGACTTTTACCCATCTGGTAGAGATAGCCTCAAATGAGATGAAAGCTTTGTTATTGTGGGTGCAGTATACTCACCCGTACACAGATGTACATCTTTTGTTTGAGTTAAATTTTCGTAAGGGATCAATAAGCAACTGTATTACCGAGCCACAGGAAAAAGAAAAACAAGAGAGATAAGACTGCCGCAAAAGCTTTTGCCTTTAGCAAGGACAATAAGAGTCATTTTCACAACGCGGCATTTTAGACTGAACAGCTAAGGCTCCTATAGGAGCACAAGGAGGAAGATGGCCCAGCCAGCAGCTTCGGGCAATTTTCCTCACCAGGGGAAGCAAATTGCCTCCCGAAGAGGATCGGGAGGGGGGGTGTCTCATCATGTCCTATGTCTCCAGGTTCACACTGTTCCTCAAGACTCCTCAAATCTCAATTTCTAAGCTCCTCAGCTGCAAAAAATCCCCAGACAGTGAGAGACAAGCTAGGCACAGACGCAGCCCTCGGTGGAGGAAAGGACTGGCCATTGCCCGAGTCCGAACCCACAGTGGGGGGGCAGCGGCGCTGGCGGCTCCTGGGGGGAGGGTGCAGTCGTGAGTGCAGAGCGGAGGGAAAAGTGAGAGAGAGGAGAGAACTCTCGCAGCTGCGCGGGTGGGGAGTTCAAAACAGCCTGCGGTGCAGGCGAGGGGGGGGGCAGTGGGAACCACGCGGACGCAGGAGGCGGCGGAAGCGCGGATGGGGCGGTCAGACGCCCGGAGCGCCCAGTGATGCGTTCCATGACGGGAATCCGTGAGAGTGCGAAAGCACCGTCCGGCAGGTGCCGGGGAATAGCTCCCAATTCGCAGCGGCGGCGCTGGCCAGGCCGGCGGCTGGACGGAGAGCGGGACTCTCCTGTCACCGCGGCGATGGCAGCGCGCATGCGCGGGACGGTAGAGCAAAACCCGGAAGTCGGAGCGGAGATCTCTTGCATTTCGAACGCACGGGCGCGGGCACAGACGGCGTCGGGGGCGGCGGTGGCCGCCAGCCAGCCGTCCGCAGACTGCGCGGTGGCCGCGGGGGGAGACCCGAGCGGCGCGGGGCCGGGCGGGACGCGGCGCGGGGCTGCACAGCGCGGAACGCGGCGGCGCCCGCTGATGACGTCACCAGAGCGCCGAATCGCGCTGGGCTCCAGCAGCGGCTCGGGGGACGGCGCGGGCCGACCCAGAGCGAAAACCGAGGCAGCGCCAGGCCTGACAGAGAGAATGGGGGGGGACATTCCCGAGGGACGGCCGCGCGGAGCCGGTATGGGCGGGCGCGGTCGGTGCGGGGGTTCCTTCCCTTGTTCCCATGGCGACACAAACAGAGGGTGAATCAAGGCTGCGCATGCGTTTGCGAGAGTTAAAGCGAACGCGGAAGTGGCTGAGAATGGGGGTGCTGAGTTTGGAAGAGGATGCAGGCGCTGGTTCGGCACAGCTGACAGCGGGTGTGAGCACGGAGGGTGAGCAAGAGAGAGGGGCGCAGCCATCCTAACGCAGGCAGAAGCGGGGTTTGACTGCACCAAAAATGCTCCCAGTGCTCTCATGCCGCGGCAAACAAAAAATCACAACAGCAACAGCAAATAATTTTTTACAAGCAGCAAATATCCTGCAGCAATGCTGAGAGATGAGTCTCCCAATTTTCACCCTGAAATAAAATTCCATCAGTCGCTTTTTGAAAACCAGCCAACACAAGGCCTTTTTCAAATCTCCCCAATGTTTCTAAACACCAACCCCAGATTTTTTTCAGTTAGGTCACAGAATTGATCGAGCAGACACGCCCAGCCGGTGTGATGATAAGTAATAATTGTGGAACACATTGTGAAAAAGAGATATCATAATGAAAATTGAAATAGAGAATTAAATAGCATGAAATGTTAGTAATTTATTATATTAAGGTTTAAGTTAGGTTGTATTTTAACGTTTTATTAATGATAGAATTGATTTTTATATAGTTGGTTTGCGTTTAAGTTAAGTATTGTTTAATTAGAGTATATCACTTTAAGTTTATTTTAGGTTTGGGCCCTGAAGAAGTTAAGTTTATAAAGGTTTAATTGATAATGGATTTATATATTGTTAATTTGATACATATGAATTTCATAAAGTTAATATAATTTAGGGATTCTTTATTAAGATTGTTATATATTGAGTTTAAGTACTGTTTGATTCAAAAATTATTTTAAGTTTTTCAAAGGTCAAGTTTATTTGGCAGCAAGGTTTAGTTGTTTTTCTTTAAGGATAAGAAGGTTTTGTCTGAAACAGTTCACAAAGTAATAATGAACATTGATTTAAGGAGAAGTTATTGGATTTATTGGATTCTTGGTTTTGTTTTAGTATTTTCTGTTTTATTATAAGTTTATCAGTATATAAGAGTTGTAAAATAATTTATTTTGAGTTTTCTGAGATTGATTTCATTGTTTAAAAATCAGTTTTATAGTCTGTTATTTCTTTGTATAGTGATACAAAGGCATTTGTTTTCAAATCCTTTATTTTTAACTATTTAAGTGTTCTATAAACGTTATTGTTAAGAAATTTTATCATGTTATCAGGTGAAGATTTGTGCTTCGTTTTTTCATAGTGAATTCTCGTATGTTTTATTATTGTTTATGTAATCTTATCCAGGTTACATGCCAGTTCTGAAGTCTCATTTTGAATTTTAACTGTATTGTGCATTTTTCTAGGTGAACTTCCTGATTCGTTTTTATATCTCTCGTGAGTGGAATCATTGCATTTCTATTTTTCATCATTCTCAAATGTTTTTCAGAAAATCTCAGAGAGAGGTGCCTGAAACATTCTGACAACCTCTTGCCATTGTTAATCTTACGATTTCTTCAATTGACATACTTTTCCTTCAAAAGAATTTCAAGAAAAATGAATCCTTGTGTCATTTGACCAGTTTATTGGTTTGAACTTCAAGTGTTTATTTTATAAGAAAATGTTATAATAGGTTGTTATGTTTTAAGTATTATATATGTATTGTTAGTGTAAGTTTTGTTTTATATAATATGTTAAGGGACATCTCTCCAGTTTAAAGTTTGGGTCCTGGCCAGACCCTGATTTTAACTTGGACAGATGAGTTTGCCAGCAAAATTCAGAGGTTTCTGCACAAAAATGAATGATATGCAGGTCATTTTTGACCCATCAATTCGATCCTACAAATGTTACAGCTGACACAGTTTTGAGGTGAAACTTGCCAGCCCTGCCCGGGAAGGGATGCCAAGGGTTTTCACTGGAAACAAATGTTTCAGCTGTTTGCAGACTCTGAACCGCTGGCACAATGTTTCTAATGATCATGCTTTGTTCATTTTTATATATGCTATTTAGAATATCTTTCTTTTGAATTTTCTTGAATTGTTATAGATTTTGATAAGTTTTATGCATTTTATTATTGAGATATTTTGTCTTGTTCTATATTATGGTTTATATTTCAACTTTCTTGTTTCAAAAGAGAAGAAGAAAAAGAGAGAAAAAAGGAAAAAGAAAAAAGAAAAGGAGTGAAGAAGTGCCTGAAATAAGGCTGAAATGAGGTTGAAGATTTTGTATGTTTTAATCTCTTGATATAATTATTTTGTAGACTTGATTTTGCTGATCATTGAGAAAAATATGAAGAGAGTGCTAGACACTGAACAGATAAAATTGAAAGAGGAAAAAAAAAAAAAAAATCGTTTAAATAAGTAGCTTTGAACAAGGATTTTGTTAATGTTTCCACAGAAGTTGAAAGCGGGATTTTTTAGTTTGCAGACCCTCAAAAACAATTCTTACAGATTTAAAGATGGGAGCTCAGATCATTATTGTGGCAGAGACCAGATTGCTGACAATGTCAGGGAAAGATTTCTTAATCATTCATTTACATTTAAAGAAGAAATATTTTGAGTGGACAATCCAAAGTCGCAGGATTTTTCAATCACGTTGTTAGGGCATTCAGAAGTTCGCACAGTTCGTTTTCCAACACACAAAATGTTAAATGTAAAAGTGAGTTTCAGGGAAAAAACAAAAAAAAAACAAAAAAAAAGCCAGGAACCAATGGAAGAAATGACAGTATTCACTGATGGTTTGGGAAAAAACTCACAAATCAGTGGTCACATGGAAAAATCAAAAAACAGGGAGATGAGAATCAGGTATCACAATGATACAAGGTTCACCACAAGTTGAAAAATTGGTAACAATAGTCAGGGGTTTTTCAGTTATTTTAGGAACCCTCAATCTGATCACAAGTTCAGTGTATGTTGCAAATGTGGTCAAACAATTAGAGAAATCGCTTTTAAAACATACAGACAAGGAAATTTTATATTCATATCTATTATGCATGAAAATAATCCTAGAAAAATAGAGAACATTAATAAACACATCAGAGTGCATTCTTCACCTCCGAGGTTTTTAGTAAAAGGGAATGCTCATGTAGATAGACTCACAATGCCCATCTTGCAGACACTGCCAAACATTTTTGAGCAGGCAAGATTGAGCCATGCATGTTTTCACAAAAATGCACAGGCATTGATGGGAACCTTTTACCCTTCTGAAAGTCAGACAAAAGAAATCTGCTTGCCAGAGAACCAGTTTGTGCAGTCTCCTGTATTTACAGGAGTGGCCAATCTGAGAGGTTTGTAAAAGCCTTCAGCTGTGGCAAGCTGATGTCACAAAATACCCAACTTTTGAGAGGCTCGAAAATATCCATATTTCAATTGATACATTTTTAGGGGCGATTTTTGCATCATATACAGGGGAGACCACAGAACATACCTGCAAACATTTTTTATAAGCATTTACATCATTAGGAGTGCAACAAGAAATAGAAACAGATAATGGTCCAATTTATACAAGCAAGGTGCTTGACAAATTTTTGAAAAAACAGAGAGTCAAACATATTTTCAATATTCTTCATTCTCCCTCAGGTCAAGCAAGCAAAGAACACATCACACCCTGAAATCCACTTGGATGGACAGAAAAGGGATGAGGCAGGGTTGAACAAATGTGTTGAATTTTTTAAATGGTTTTTTCTCAAAGCCCACTCTAATAATTGTCAGATATGTTACAAACAGCCCACAGGAAAAACTAAGGGAAAATCCTTTCGATTTGATCAGAAGTCCAGAGTCAGGACAGATTGAAGGTTCATTTACATTAATAACTTGGGGCGAGGGTTTCGCTTGTGTTTCTATAGGACGAGGACTGAAGTGAATGCCAGCGAGGCACATGTAACCTTATCGGGTGCAGACGCCAGTGGACGTGGACCTGAGAAGCAGAGAGGCAAGCACGCAGACGAAGGCAGACAACAACGCTGCAGACGTCTCGTTGGACAACGATTGATCACCCAGAGACTTGGGGTTTTTTCTGGGAAATCAAGTGTTGTTTGGGTGTTGCTGCATTGCGGGGTTTCTCACAGAGGGTGGGGACATGGACATGGGATTCAGATAGATAGTGTTCATGTGCTTCATTCTTTCACCTGTTGCCTTGGGCAACAGGACAGATTTTCCCATGAGACAACCCAGGGAAAAAGTGTGGGAGACTTTGGCAAAAGCAGCTGGTCTGGACAGCATTTGCCTGACCCATTCGAAACCAGAGAAACCATTTTCAACATGCTTGGTAGGTGTGCCAGTGGAGGGATGGTCAGTCCCAGGGGACATCCTTCCAGGGTTTCTGAAGTTTCTTTCAGACCCTGTGGAGGGATGACATGTTTGGACACAATTCCTTCCTGCTGCTCACTTTGAACCTCTGGATTTGGACATTTTGGGTCAACAAAAATGAAATGGTGCATCAAATTTAATTCATCAGGAGTGGCAAAGACAGATAATCATACAATAGATGTCACTCCAAATCAGCCTTTTATAAAAATGCGTCATCTTGGTGCAATCATACCAAAATGACAAGCAAACCATCCTTTCAACATCCAGCCACTTTACCGAAGGGAATGTTTTTTCATTTGCGGGGACAGAATTTGGCCTGCTATCCCTGCAAAAATCAAGGGTGGTCCATGCAGCATTGAAAGATCTTTTGTTAACATACAGCATGACCTTGATAAGAGAGCAAGGAGAAAAAAATCTGATGAATGAAATGATCCAAATTGTGACAATGATAATGTTAATACCAAGAAAAAAGGCTCGGAAAAACTGAGTGGTTCTGCTTTCACAGCAGGTGGCATCAAAAAGAGCCTTGGTGCAGTTGAATCAAAAGAGGTTATGGGCAGAGTAAAGATGCCCATGTCATTTCTTTTGCATCGAATGATTTGTTAACTAGCAGTGAAAAATGAGAACAAAACAGTAATTAAACATCTATTATAAACACATAGACACACGAGTGAAAATTTAAAGAGGTATCAGAGGACCAAACACACCTGGAGAAAAATTAAATCATAAGTAGATGGTGTGTTCAATTTGTTTCACTTTTCACAGTTGTAGAAAAGAGATTTTGAAAATAGTTGTATGTAATTATAAGGTATTGTAATTCTTCTAATATTTGTGCTGTCCTTGCCTCAGTGCATGAGGCAGACCATGGACAAAGTTGTCAAAGAGGTGTTCTTGATTCAAAAAGGAAAGGATCCCTTGAACAATATAGCTCAAATTATGATGATGATGTTTCTACCTGGGACAAGTCTCGGAGAATTGCAGTAGCAATTTTCTCACCCCAAGCAGCATCAGGGGCGGCCTTGACACAATTGGATCGTATAGCATATTGGTTGAGGAAACACAGTCGTGCCATTTCGTTTGCACTGAGTGACATGTTAACAGACATCAACAGTGCAAG